CCACTGGCACATAGCCATGAGATGGTACAGACCTCCATAGCACTTGTGAAAATTTGAGACCAGAACCCTAAAAAGGACTTTTGGATTTAAAGCTACTGAAAACTGACAACTCTGATGCCCACTCACCTCCCAGCTCTTTGCATTTTCAAAACATGTATGACTTGGCCAGACTCAGCTCCTGAACCACTAAATCAGTGATGCTGTTCCAGAGCTAAGGACCTTAAAATGAGCAGGAGCTCAGAGACCACCTCCCAGGGGCTATCCACCCACCACCTCACTTGCTGAAGGACCTCCCATAATACCTTGGACCCTGTTCAGTCTGCGTGGCAGGAGGCTCAGCTCAGACCCCAGTGGCTGGTGAGGAGTATGCAGAACACCTTCCATAGAAGCCAGAGTCCCAGTGCTACTGTTATTTGGAGGAAGGACTGACTGTGGGGGCAGGAAGGAAGAAAGACCTGCAAGAGCAGGACCTGCCTTGGGCAGCTCTCACAGAGACTGGTTTGAGGCAGGGTTTGCAACAGGCTCAGAGGTGTGAGAGACACTGCAGCAGCACAGCAGGTCCCTCCACAGCTCTCCAGCCTCTCTGAGCTTACACAGCTTCTCACTGTGATGGCTGGCTTATGAAAAATCCCTCCCCCAGGTGATTATGATGGAGTTTGGGGAGTTTCATAAGCAGGATGCTTAATGCAAGGCTGAAAATCAGAGTGGGAAGCAGGAGCTCATTACGTGAGCTGCTGCACCCCTCAGCTAAGCAGCTCCACAGCATCATTAAAGAGTTGGCAGCAGGGACTCACCTGCATCTGTAATTGCCTAACAGCCCAGGACTGCACAGCCCTGAGAATTTAGTTCTTGACCCTGGAGGAGGCAGGTTACCTAGGCAGAAATGGGAGGAGAGCTGGCATCCTGATGGTGGTTTTGTTCTGCTGACCAGTGCTTTTATTTTTTCCATTTAAAAAACAGTCTTCAAAAACTGAATGCCAAAATGCCTCAACCCATTGAATTAATTACAAGATTTTATAGAAGAGAATTATCAGTAAGTTCAAGAGCACTATAAAAGCAAGGATTTCATTATCTTTTGTTGGTCTGGTTACAGGCTAGTAATCCACAGCAGATTACTGGGATATAATTGCTCTCTCTATATATATGTATATGCATGAAAGTAAGTTAATATAGCATATTCCTGTGGCTACTCTCTCCATCCACCCATGGAGAATACATTTTACTAAGCTGATTGGAATAGAATGCTTTAGGTTTTAATTTTACTTTTTAAAGAAAAAAGTCTACATATTCATGTATCTTTCTTTGAGGCTCCTGTAAACAAAGAATTATGTTCAGGGCCACTGCCAGAAATAAGATCTGTCAGAGGTCTGTAACCCATTCAATAGAGGATCACTCAATGGCCCAAGGGTACTTCCTTGCAAGGGAAAGGGTAAAATAACTGAGGTCAAGGCCTCAAATGCAACTCTAGTTTTAATCATGTTGTTGATTTAGAGCATAACATGCTTGGGTTTTTTTTCTTCTCAATTGTCAGAAAACATTTTTCTTTTTCTTGACATGTCTACAATGGTCCCCATGCCCGTTCTTTGCACTACTCCATGCTCAGCTCATGGACAGGGATGTTCACTGTCACTGAGATTCAAATACATAGGCTTTACTTGTAAATAGATTCACTTACC